TTTGAGATATTTTGGGGGGTTGACCTGTGTCATGCCATGGGTCATGCTGGTCTGTGGGCTGAGTCTTAGGCCAGGTCGGCCACAAGTTGCATGGCCTGCTCAGTCGTACTATATCGGCCTGGCTCATAGACCTGAATCCTAACACAGCACGTGAGTACCTCTAAAGTGGAGCTATTCAAAATTGCCCCTACGGGGGATTTGGACATATCCCCATTTTTTTTTCACATACCAACATACCTGAATAGAATGCCACTGGAGGGGAGGTTGAGGTTTATATTTGCTTACATAATTCGATAGGGGAAATATCAAAAGTGAGGGGATGTTTCAATGTTTACAAGAAATCTTAGGACAGGTTTAAGTCTTTTACTCAATATCAATATTATTAGGGTAAAATAACAAACCTCCCCTTAAGTTTCTTACAATTATAAAAACCTCTCCTAGTTTAACTTTAATAAAAACCACTCTTCTATTTAAAAAAAAAAATCAATGAGCAGGACGAAAAACGTTAAACCTATGAGCTTCTGTAGTTTCTCACAATCACCGGAGAGGAACGATTTCGGTCCTCTCTGATGGAGAAAAATGACGAACCCAGGAAGAACGATTTCGGTCCCACCAGAGAGGAACGACGAACCTTTGAGCTTCTGTAGTTTCTCACAATCACCTCTCCTCGACAGGGAAAAGCTCTTCTGTAGTTTCTCTACAACAAGATTGAGCTTTACAATGCTCTTTCTCTTCTTCCCACTGCTTCCATTCTCAGCTTTCAATTGATCTATAGTGGCTAGACTCTCTACAGTGATATTAAACTAACGACCCAGCTGAGGTGGACGTCTGTTAGAATTTAAAAGCGGGCAAGGACTTGAAGTAAAAAAAAAAAAAACCAAAAATCTGAAAATGGAGATAAAAAGTGAGCAACCACTGAAAGTCTGAAACGACGTATTCTGTTCGACCCAGAGCATGTGCTGGAATAACCCCCCACCTTCGATACGTCCTTTTCTCCCAGCAGCGTCGGTCTCCACATTATTAACATTGATTTAAGAGATCAATGTTGATAGCTTTCGTATATATGACTTTTTCACTTTCGTATATTAACATTGATTTAAGGATCAATAATCATGTTAGGGAGCTTCTCCAAAGGGCGCGGATGTAGTAGGCACGTATGAGTGGGTCTGAGCACCTACTAGCCGTACCTATCCCAGGCTTCCCACCTAATGCGCCTTCTATCTTAACGTTTTTTGTGCCGTTTAAGAATTACCTATTATTTTATTATTTGTATTAAAATAATAATAAAAAAAAACAACAAAAAAGGAAAACATGTCCCAGCGCCTATTTCTCAAAAAAAAAAAAGAGGAAAACCTATCCTAATGCCTTTCTCTCCAAATCCAAATTCGACTTTCAATCATAAAGAGGGTTTATCTTTCATTGAATTCATCTTCTTTTTCATTCGCTTTTTGCCGGAACTATAATACTTTATGTCTTTCTCAATAAACAAAAACGACAAGACAAATATACCATACGCATTAAAATTCTTCTATGCCAATTATATCATAAAATAAAAAAAAATTATGCAAAAACTATTAATTTACTTAAAAGTTTTTTATTTTTGGTGAATGCTCATAATTTTAGAGAATTAATATAGGGTTGTTTATAAGAAGGCCCAATCCGACCAAACTGACCAATTCAGACCGACCCAATCCGAGTTGGCCGGGTTATCTTCAGCACCGATCGGTTTTGGGTTGTAAAACATCATAAACCGATGGTTTGGGTTGGTTTCGGTTTTCTTGTGTGAAAACCAAAACCGACCCGAACCGAACCAACTTAGCTAAAGAAGCATGTTATTGTATACTTCGTTTAATTGTTCATAATCCTTTGTGAAGTGCATACAAGTTGATATAATGTTTCAAATTCATGATTTCAGTTTTCGTGGTGAAACTAATATCTAATCCCAAATGCTTATCAATTTGTCCTGTTTTTGCCGTCTTCACTTCTAGCAAGAATAAATTCTCAAACTGACAACCCAAACTTGCACCACACAGGCACATGGGGGGCATGGTTGAACTTAGAGCCGAAACCGACCCAACCCGACTCAAACCGACCAGGTCGGTTTTGCTTAACACTGGGTCGGTTTCGGTTTCAAGTTAAGGTAACCTGACTAGGTCAAGTCGGTTGGAAAAACCTTAGTAAAGCGACCCAACCCGACCCGTGAACAACCCTAAATTAATATATAATAAAAGCATTACATGTTATAATTTTAGAGAATATTTTTTATACCTAGACTGAATTCTCTAATTTGCCAACGTAGAGGTGTAAATCGGGCCAAGTTTGGACCGGCTTGGCACAACACGACACAATGGCATGTGGGTCGTGCCAAGCCCAAAACAATGGTCCATACTGTGCTAGGTTGGGGTTTTAGGTCTGCGGGTTGGGCTGACATGGCATGACCGAGCAGGCCATGCCTTCCGCAGCCCGCGTGCTGGCATGGCCCAACCCGCCACCCTACCCAACACGACCCATATATATTATTTATATATATAAAATATAATATATTAATAAAATATATAATTATTTTCAATTTTATTATACTAATTTATTTAATTATTGTATATATAAATAATTGTATACATCAAAATTCATATAAAATTAAAATTTTAAATTGAAAACCGTAAGTGGGAGATAAATTGAAACCGTAAAGCATATATACCGATGATAGACTGTAGTCACCTGGATTTGGATGAATGGATTTCTTGAGATGAAATCGCAGGTGAGGGCTTCAAGAACTGCTGCCCCAACCAACCAGTTGCAACGGTTGAAGATACAGAGGTGGGAGAACCCTAAACGGTAGAAAGTTGGAGAGAAAGGCGCTGGGACAGGTATTCCTTTTTGTTGGAGAGAAAGGCGCTGAAACATGTTTTCCTTTTTTGTTGTTTTTTTTTAATTATTTTGATACAAATAATAAAATAATAGGTAATTCCTAAACGACACAAAAATGTTAAGATGAAAGGAGCATTAACTGGGATAGGTGTTGCTCAGCTATTAGGTGCTCACTCATAGTGCTTACCTAACGTGCCTACTACATCCGGACCCTTCTCCAAAAGGGACCTTTTGATCGACGGTCAAAGAAATCGACCAATAGGATGAAGCACCGGTTGTTGTCTGGTGAAGAATAGTCGCTAAAAAATTCTGGTGAAGAATATACCAAACACTACAACCGCTGCAAATTAAACGAAAGGGATAAAGATACAAATGCCATCCGGTGCAAAAAAAAAAAAGAACTCCAATGAAGAAATTGGCCAACAAGATGAAGCATGGTCGTCATCCGGTGAAGAATCATCACCGGAAGATGTACGAAATATTCCGAGAAGTGGAATATTCCAAGTATTGTGGCTGTTGCAACTGTTAGGGTTTAGGGTTCGAGTGTTTTCTCAATAGTATAGGGAGTGTAATGAATTGCTCGAGTAAGAGCAAAAATGGTATTTCACAAATAACTCAGAAGATATCCAAGGATAAAAATGTAATTCTATATGTTTTCCGTCTTGAACATTAACGAAAGGGAGGCTTTTGCTAAAGTTAAACTATAAAAAAGGTTTTTATGATTGTCAAAAACTTCAGGGGAGGTTTTTATATTTTACCCATATTACTATTAAAGTATACTTGCCTTTTTTATTTTGATGCAAGTAATAAAAGTTAATTAAATTTAAGATCAAATCTCAACTTATATCTTTACCATTTATTTATACAGTGACTTTACACGGTGATAAGTAATAATAATATGATAGGATAGATATTAATTGCATATGCCCATTCAGTGTACCTTGTAAATAGCCAATGACCAAGTGAGGGAGATGTTCATTTAATTTGAATTACAGGCTTTCCAATTTCCATCGTAAGGTAATAATCAACGTACACAAAGTACAGGGCCACTATTTTGAACTATTGCAAATTTAGGTTAAATTTTTAGTTGATTTTTTGATATATAGATTTTTATTTATTTTAATTAAGAGATTAAATCACATTTTTATTTGATTTAAAAGATTAAATCCAATTTTATTTCTGAATACTTTATACACCATTTTGATTTTTTTTGGTCTTACTCTTACCTATGTACAATAAAACTGCTATAAGAATAAACAATTTTTTCTAGGTGAGAATAATCACTTGTCTCATAATGAAGCTCTAGTCTGATAAGAATTTGACTGTGATACGAAAAAGAAAAAGGAAAAAAAAAATATAACCAATGGTAGTGATAATACCAATAATGTGGTATTCAACAAAATTCACATGGGTTTTGATTGGTCAAGCTCATCAAACCGGAAAAGGAAGATAACTTGTAAATTATTCTAAAAGATAAGTATATTTCAAACTAAAGAGTTTGAATTGCAAGTGGATTGCTGTTGCATGGTAAATGAAAATTATTTTTGGTTTATTTACTGTGACTTGGTTACAGTACAAATTTATTTACATTGATGCAAAATTATGGTAGTGCAAATATTTTGGGTACAAATTCTGATTAATTTTTGTTTCAAATTTTACCTTATTTTGTTTGATTGCATTATAAATGAAGTTAAATAAGACCTAAAAGCATTATAAACTAAAACCCAAAACAAAATTAAACCAAAATTTTCATTCTTTTCATTTGCTCTCTCATACATTTGTACTAATCCAAATAAAATTGCAGTGCAACAAAGCCAATAGAGTTCTGCCTGAAAAGAATCACATTAAGAAAATATCTCTAGGTTTCCTCTCCTATGGTGTTCAAAATATCTAGAATCGTTAATGCAATTCTAACCACACATTCAAAAGAAATCGACATGGACGGCATGAAAAAGCTTTTTCTCCCCTAGCTAAAGTAAGATGGGATGCTTAATTAGTATGGTCTTATACATATCAGACATTTAATTAGTCTATGTATCTCGATTAATTTGGCATATTTAACAATCACTGGTCAATTGATTATTCAGTAATTTACAATCCTTAATCATACCAGCATCCTTCATATACATCAATTAATTCAACAATCCATCATATTGTGAGGTGTTCTTGAACTTCTAATCTTCAGTCCAAACCTACATGCATATCTTATTGACTAATTACCTCAGAATTAATTTAGATTTGGAAGACCAATTACAATTTAGCTCCATACAACAGGAGATCAAATTGGAGCTGTTTTTATGTAAACATATTAATTTATTTAAACTAAACAGGAAAAAAGCTACAGAGAAATGGTCTATGATAGTTTGATTCATTCATCAAACTACTAAACCATGCACCGACTTTTGTTTCTTCTTTTCACTTTCAAAAAGTTGGATCACCATATATTGTAAAAGGCTAAAAGCATTTAACTAAGTAAATTACCTGACAAGCCCCAGGTTGAGTATACCCCAAGATGTCTGAGGCCATGAACTCTCCTTGGCTTTCATCAACAGAACTCTGGCCCAAGCAATCCAGCCCTCCCAAGACATTCTCTTATCCCAAGGGCTCCCCCATTCCAGCATCAGCCTCAGCCCCTTCTCAGCCTCTGTTTCAGCCTCATGAAACCTCCCTTTTGCCAAGTAAACCTGACCCAGCACCAGATGGGGCTCTCCAATAAATGGGTTCTTCTCAACACACCTCAGTAACAACTCCTCCACCCTCTCCAGTCCTACCTTGGACCCTTCACAAACAGCTTCCCAATACAAATCTCTTGCAACAATCTGCTCCTCTGCATCCAACACCTTGGTGCAGTTCTCAAAAACAGGAGGGATCACAAGCTCAATCTCTTCGTCCCGATCATCTCCCTTTGACAAATTGCCACCAACCCCAACCCTTTTCCTCTCTTCCATGAAAATCTCTTCTTCTCTCACAATCAGAGAATATAGAGCACCCATCCTCGACAGTGAGTTCATCCAAAGGCCTGGCTTTCCATCACCTGGCCAAAGACCCAACGCATAATTGTTGCCTGAGAACTCCAGCCGACCATCTGAATTATCAAACAAGGTGTCCTGAAAGCCGAAAAGCTGGTCACTGAAATCTGCAATCGTCATTAGGAGGAAGGTAGCTACAACCCGCCTCGAGACGAGGACATCTTCGCCGGTCTTTATGTGCTTGACTACTATCCCTTCTGCAGGGACAAGGGATTGTAGTTTCTTCCTCCAACATTCATCTCGATTGAAGACACCCTTCTCCTTTGCGTTTCTCAGCGAATTCTCGGAGTGCTTAAGGTGTTCGACGAGATCCTGATCGGTGTAATGGAAGAGGAGGTCGTCGTGGATGAGCGGTTGCCGGGGAACGATGCAGAAGAGGTGAATGAGGCGCTCAGCGGCTTCACCGACGAGATCACAGACGGTGTCCCGGCCGGTAGAAGGGTCGAAGATGGCGAGGTTGACGTAAGAGTTGGAGTAGGCGGAGTGAAAGAGGCCACAAAGGGCAACACAGTCAGGCGCATTCCACAGCTTAAGAATCTTGTACATGTCGACGAGGTGCTCGAGGAAGCTGCCGTGCTTGTGCCAGCACTCACCGGCACCGACGGAGCGGAGGACGGCAACAAGAGCCGGGAGTTTTGGATCAACAGACTCGAGCTCCCCTCGGAGGAAAGGACGGGCGGATCCCAAGAGGGTCTGGAGATGCTGCTGAGAAGGCGGAAAGGAAACAACAGAAGACGACGGCATATTTGCAGACCGGATGATTTTCACGAATCACGAGAGTAGAATGAGAGAGAAATTAGAGTTGGAGAAACTAAAAGAAGGGTCATTTATAAAACACCCTTCCTACTTCTACGAATTTCCTAAAACCTATTCTATATTTTTGATTTTACTAATACACCCATATAGTTTGCAACTAATTTACTTAATCGACCTTCTTTATATTTTGTTTAAAGACGTTAATATGACCATATAATTATAATATTATAGTGAAAAATGATGGCATAAGTTTATTTTTTTTATCCCAAAAGTATCCTTAAACTTCATATCAAGTTTTTAACAATAAATAAGGTTTGATTTTCAAATCTATCAAAAAAAATGTTTGGATCTAGTAAAACGAAGAAGAAAGAACGATGGCGTCGTGGGTTCTTAGTTAGCAATGGTTTGTCTTCCTTCTGTGCATAAGTGCATCACATACGTATGTGGACTCGGCCGGCCCAGAGTTGAGTCGAGATGAAACTAGTCCATTTTATTAATTAAAAATTAAGTGTTGGACATACCAGTACAACAACAAATCATCATGTGTCCAATCAAAGAAGTGAACATTCTAATCGAGTGTTTGCTTTTTGGATTTTGAGAGGGAGAAAGTTGGTCAATACAGTTTTGTCTTTCATTGATTAAGAATTTCATGTTAATTTTTCAGATTTATATGGGGACAAGGAAAAGTTTATTTTCTTAGATATCATCTCCTAGGTGAATAAATAACTTTCCAACCTAGGGGAATTTGTCAACACTTGAATGGGCAAAAATGCCCATTTTAATAATGATTTTTTATGACTAAAATGGTAATTACCTTATTTACATGAGAAATTAAAGAATATGGGTAAATGCACTTACCCGGATAAGTGTTTCCCAGGTAACTGCATTTACCCGGGTATAGGGGTGGCCATGAGCCGAATTCGAGCCTAACATATGGGGCTTGTTTGTTAATCAAGTCGAGCTCGAGCTTAATATAGCTCGGCTCGTAAGGCTCGCGAGCCCAATCGAGTACATATACATAAGGTGTCACATCGGTTCGGCTACTAAAGGAGACCTCGGCTCGGCACCTTGGCTACTAAGGGAGACCTTGGTTCGGCACCTTGGCAACTAGGGGGACCTCGGCAACTAAAGGAGACCTCGGCTCGACACCTCGACTATTAAGGGAGACCTCAGTTCGGCACCTTGGCAATTAGGGAGACCTCGGCTCGACACCTCATCAGCTAAGGGAGACTTCAACTTGGTAGCTTGGCTCAACACCTCGGCTGAGAGAGACCTCAACCTGGAAACTCGGTTCAACACCTTGGCTGAGGGAGACCTCGGCCTGGCAACACGGTTCAACACCTCAGCTGCTAAGAAGACTTGCAGTTAGAGGCAGCCGAGCTCGAACTTCTGAGCTTTTTAGTCAAGTCAAGCCTGAGCTCAAGTCATTAGTTCGAACTAAGCTCAAACCTGATAATTTATGATCAAGCCGAGCTCGAATAGCCAGATATTTGACTCAGCTCGAATCCACCCCTATCCGGGTAAATAACCATCCAAAAAGTGAATAGGGCCTGAAAGCAAAGGTGTATCAGGATAAGCACAACAACACGTTCTAAAATGGAAATAAACATGTGATTTAAAGAATTAAACAGAAACATTCTAAAACAAAAGGGTAAACTTGAAAATAATAATTAATAAAAAAATTCTAAAAAAAATTAAAATCCAATTCACCCAAAACTTATAATTAGGGTCCCCATACCCATTTGGAGGGGATTTTTGAACCCAGTACTCACGCATGCATCACCATTAATCCATTACCTCTTGATTAGTCCAATTTCTCAGATTTTAGGGCTTAGGCCACGACATCCACTAACCTACACCTTCTTCAAATAGACAACAAATTTTAACGAATAAAGTTATTGTCCATGTTTTATTGACAAGAATGTAATTTTTAGATTAAATTTGCTTGAATGGATATTAAGGTTAAAATTGTCATTTTCCACTTCTATCTAGTGACAATTGAATAAATAAATAAAAATAAAGGGATAAGTAGCTCGAACGGTTAAAACCCCTTGAACAAATTATAGGGTAGGTTTTTATTAAAATCCATAAAACTAATGGATGGCCAATAAAATAAATAAAGGGATAGAGAGAAAGAGCAAGAGACGTGTTTGTTTAAACTTTGAAGTTTGGAAGAAGTATGCAGGCACGAGACATGAAGAGTTGAAGACTGAAGAGGAGTCCAGCCTGCATGCGTGTGAAGGTGTCCAAACGTGTGGGGTGTCTAACATGTTGGTCAAGCTCTACGCCTCTACCCTCTCTGTCTCTGGTTTTCGTTTCCGATCGATCGATCTCCCTCAGTCCCTCACCATCACCTTAACCACCTTCTCTTCTTCCATTCTCTCCATGTTCACCGGGCACATGACGTTCCATTATATTGCCGGAGAACATCGAGGATGGTCGACTTGGCAAACTATCCGGTGGATTCCGGCAAAACTGAACTGCTAATGGGAGGAGGAGGGGAGAGGGAGAAGCCTCTTCACACATTCTGTGAACACCTGTCAATGTCTCATTGGGCTCCAGCAACGAATCTAATTGACAAACAAGCAGCAGAGCAAGACGCAGGCTAACGTCGAAGAGTTACGTTGATGAAGATAAGGAGTCCGGATTCGTTGGAAATCTTATCTGGGGCTGAGTGACTCTGTCTCTGTTCGTCTCTAGCGAGATAAGGTGTCTATATGTCAGACGTGTAATCTACGTAAGAACAAGATACTAGATAATATATAAAGCCAGGAATCTTCTACAAGAAAATGACTGATGAGGTGGGCAACTGGCGAGGGCTATAGCCACATTTACACAGGTGGAAGTGGAAAGGGTAAGACTAATCGGGATCCGATCTCATTGTTCTACTTCTCAAAATCCAACCCAAATCCGACATCAAATAAAGATAAGATTGACTATTTTTTAATTTGTAAATATATAAAGAATGTATATGACGAAGGTAGGGCTGTCCATAAAAAACCAAAATACCGAAATACTGAATCGAATCGAGAAAATTGAACCGAAAAATGCGGTTAATCAAATCGATCGGTTTGATTTTGATTCGATACTTCTGAAAAACCGAAAAACCGGTTCGGTTTTCAGTTAACCTACAAAAAAATTGGCAGTTAATCGAATCAGCCGTTATATATATTTATATGTATATTTTATATATATTTTTAATATATGTTACATATTTTCTATATATTATATATAAATATATACATATATTATATTTATAATAATCTATTTATAAATATATTATATATATAATATATTATATATCATTTATTATTTATAATATAATATTATACATATATTATAAATATAAAAATTGAAAAACCAAAGAATCAAACCGGTTAAAAATTGAAATTGATGGACCGGTTACCGATAGTACCGGTTCAGTTTTGGTTCGGGAAATAAAAAACTGGTGGTACTGGTTTGGTTTACAAAAGCTGTCTATAAAGGGACTAGAGAACAGGTCTGAGGAAGGTAGGGTAGGGTACCTGCAAGTTAAGCAAGTCAATAATTGGTCGAATTGTTCAAGGTGTATTAACTATTAAGTAATAAATCAACCCGGATATGGAATTCCTTTAGCCATCGATTTCTAGGTCAGCGGTTCTGTTAGAGTTGAAACGGTTAAGGTAATTTTTGCATCTTCACCATTGATTTAGCATATTAAGTAAGGTTAGGAAAAAATATAAACAGAGAGGAGGTATGTCGAATAGGAAAAGAAAGAAAAAAGAGAAATGAAAGAAGAAGGAGGAGGAGGTGGTCGTGGTGGTTCACCCACAATGATGACAACAGCAGTGGTGGTGGTGGTGACGACAATGACGGTATTGAACAACACAGTGAACCAACAGCAGCAGATGCAACCTCATATCTGAGATCTGGCAAATCTCTCTCTCTCTCTCTCTCAATGATCTCAGATGTGAGATCTCTTCCATTTACACTTCTTAAAAGTTAAATAAAACCGTGAACCGCTGCCCGGGTCGAATGGTTTAGTGGTTCAACCACCCGGGTCAACGATTTCAACAGTTTTTTGAGAGTTAACAGCCCAAAGCAAAATCGGACCCGAAGAGATGACCGGTTCCCAATTCAAATGGTCCGCGTGTTAGCTCGTAAGCCGAGCTTAAGCAAAGTGAATATCACTATATCAGGTTGTCTATGGTGGGCGTTAGTTACGTAAGGTGAGGATATGCTGACTAAGGTCCACGTGTCTTGATGTTTATCGAATTGCATAGGTGGTTTATGTATATGTCAATGTTGGCAATCACTAATAAGGTGCCAACGGGTTGGTTGGTAAGGTCTCTTATTAGTCATAGCGGATTTAGCTGAATTGGGGGATGAGTTATCTATTATTGTGTAATCCTTCAAAAGAAATAAAAAAAGTGTAGGCAATTGTTTTAAGTAAGATTAGAATTTTTTTTTATATTTAGCTAAAAAAAATTAACTTTTTCACAATTGTCCCCACTCTAATAAGATTGTAGAGGTCAATTCATTTATTTATTTATTTTTGGCAATGAGTAAGGGGTCAAATAATGACACCCATGTCCTAGAATCTACTTAAAATCTAAAACTGAATTAATGAAAAATGAAGTGACTTTTATACCCTCATGTTTTTCTTTTTTCAATATGACAATAGACAAGTATTACCCTTAAAAATTAAAAGGATCATTCAAACCATCTATTCTTTTTTCTTATGAAAATTCATTCCAACCATTGTTGTGTTGGGAATAGTGTTTTTTTTTCCTTTTTTATTTTTAAATCCCTATATAATTAAACATATCAAAAAAAGTCTGGGAGAAAAAGCAATCCATTTGGATCTTTTTTACTAATCCCAACTTTGTTTGCTAGCTAAGTCTTCAAACTAGAAAGTTGTATTATTTTGGATATACATCTTTTTTAATCCCAACTTTGTTTACTAGCAATCAAGGTTCAAAGTATCAATATTGGTCGATATGCCAGTAGGGGCGTATCGGCCAGTATCAGTCCTTTTTTTAGCTTTTACTTTTTGTTTTTCGATTTTGGTTTAGAGGGGCCG